GGGGCTTGTTGATGGGCCCAATGGATAGCTCTTCATCAGAGCTAAAAATAAATAAATGAAAAATGTGAAGCTCCTATGTTGAATAGGTTTTGAGTTATAAGGATTCTTTTATGTCCAGACACCCCCTTTTTTTAGAGAGAGCCCCCTCCTCTAATATGGGGTCTATCATAAAAAAATGGTAAAACCATTTGAAGTCTGTTTAAGACAGCAGTGTATTGTACAAGAAAAATGATGAGGACTAGGAGTAAATGTGTGCCATAAATGTTGTGTGTTCATGTGTTTGCAGTCAAAGCTGTTTGACCACGACAACATGAAGTACCTGAAGAAGCTTCTGGATGAACTGGAAGGTGTCATGGACCAGGTGGAGACAGAGTTACAGAGGAGGGTGGAGGAAACACCAGGTATCCTGAGGCAGCTTGGCCAAACAGCCACCATTTAACCCAACAATTACGACAAAAAAAAAAAAAAATTTCTTTTTGCAGATGAAGGCAGTCCGTCCTGGCTTTGCGGCGACTTCTTCAGCATGGCCGACGTCTCCCTGGCCGTCACGTTGCACCGCCTGGAGTTCCTCGGCCTCTCCCGGCGCTACTGGGGCAACGGCCTCCGAGCCAACGTGGAGACGTACTACGGGCGGGCGGTGGAGCGGCCCGCCTTCCGGAGAGTCCTGGGCCACGTCAACAACATCCTGATCTCCGCCGTCCTGCCCGTGGCCTTCCGGGTGGCCAGGAAGAACGCGCCGGCTCTGGTCGGCACGACTCTGCTGGTCGGGTTTCTGGGAGGAGCTGCGTACCTCGCCTTCCTCTTCGTGAAGAAGAGGCTGGCTTCTCTCAGCTGAGAGGGATGAAGGTGATCTGGGACCACGTTAAGGACAGCTTTAATTTAAAACAATTGCACACAGCAAAAGAACGACTTAAAGTGATGAGTTTGGGATGTTTTCCCTTTTTTCAGTCATATTTACAAGAACCTGTCTGATAGCGACATAAATTATATCCACATGCGCTTCTTTTTGGGAGGTTTCAATAATATCTTACACTGTATACACAGACATGTGACCTGAACTAGATAATACAGACATGATTGCTTAAAAATGCCATAAAAAGTTCTTTCAGTTCAGGTTGTTTTTGCCGTTATTATGGCTGCACCTGAATGCACCATTCCTGTCATTCTGTACATGCATTGATAACAAAATAAGTCAAAATTCTAAATGTACTGACAGTTATAAAAAACAGTGTTTAACAATATGTAACTCCAGCAAAGGGATCAGGTAGAACTTCAAAGATGAGGTCAGACATCTTGGTTTGTGCTTCTTTAAGAGTCTAATAGGTTTTGCATATTGTGTGCTTGTCTCTTGTTATAATTGCAGTGTTGTTATTTGCAGCGTAAGAAATTAAAGTGAAATAAACTCAAAGCCTTTAGTTTGGTTTCTGCAACCAAGTTTGCCAAATTAAACAAGGTTCCCTTGTTTCTCTAAATGTTTAAGTCCCAAAATAAATAACTTGTAAACAACCTCTTTTGGCTGTAGATTAGACTGGAGTTAAAAATGCTAAATCATATCGCACACATTTCCCAGACTCTGAGTTTAGGTCAACGTCTGCAGTAACAGTAAAGTTTACCACACGCTGAGCTTGGATTTATATTCCTCTTAACATAAAATAAACACAAAGTCTGACCTTTAATTTTAATTTCTAACAAAACAGATTATTTAATTTAATTTAATTTGCTCAAGTTCTGCATTTCAGGAAAATATAACTGCATGTTTTGTGCAACACTGAAATTAAAGATAACCACACAAAATATCTAATCGTTTGTTAATAAGTAGGTATTCAACAAGARGAGGAAGTCTTTAGGAAGATTGAGAGTTATCAGTTAATCTAGCATGCATGTTTTTTGGTATGTGGGAGGAAACTGGAGTGTTCAGAGAAAACCCACATGTGCACGAAAGAACATGGAAACTCCATCCTAAATGAGAGCCAGCAACTTTCTCACTGTTGACTGAGAATCTACAGCAGCAAATAAAAAAGTGGCATTTAAAGAAATACTCAATATCTGTAAAGTTTTAAACAAACATTAACTTATTTTAGTTGTTTCTGAAAATGTGGGTTTACTAAAAAATAAAACATGAAAGTTTGACCTGGTTTCTGTGAAACCTCTTCTGAAGGAAATGCGTTCTCCTGCCACTAGAGGGCAGTGTTTCCTCAAAGAAAACTCCAGTGGGAATTAAAGGCGAATAACGTTTAATCCAGACTGTACAGGGAGGTGGATCACAGTAAATTTCTGAGAGCCAGGTACTTTCAGGAAGCAGTTTGCAATGCAGAGTATTAGTAATAACATGCACACAAAATACAGTTTTTAAATTTATGCAGTTTGTTCTGACACTTTGCTGTTCATTCTTTTAATTCATTTAAGTTTTTTTTCACCCACAAACAAAAATAGTCTACTCCTCACTTCATTGCAGTAATTATATTAATGAAAAAAAAAAAAGGAAATGTGTATCTATTTGATTGACTTTATCTATTTTACAGCTTCATGTGAAAGGTCTGAAAATTTATTTTCACTTTACAGTTCTGTCCAGAAGGTTTATTTTTAGATTTTCTCAGTGCCCACACTGGGAGGTGGGGTAAATCACAGCAAAGAGTGAAAATCTCATGCGGTATAGATGCATATTGGTAAACTGTTGCGATTTGAAGGCTCCTTTATACTGAGTTCAAGCCAAAAATCATACAGTTTGTGTTGTAAACCCTAAAAAAGAAGAAAAGAAGAGAACCTTTAGTGCGAGCTCAGATCCAGAATATTTTCCCACCTTTTTACACCTGAGCAGCCAAAGGCCACCTAAGTGAGACAGTCGTTTCATTTCAGACCCATCACTTTGGTTTGGAGATGAAGGATTACCTTTTCATGGCTTCAGTTAAAACAGTGTCAGAGGTTCTGTGATGAGCTAAAACACATCTGGACCAAAACAATTATTGTTCTACAACCTGTAGACCAGCTGAAAGATTACTGTCTGAATGCTGAGTCTGCAGTAACACGCTTATCCGGCTTTTTTAAAGTTTATGAATACTTTATTGCTTCTACATCTGTGTAACTTGTACAATTG